CCTGCTGATTTGTTTATTAGCTCCATTCCGTTGAAGCTACTATGTACTTATGTCATTCCCACAGCTTTTTAAGAGATAATCTGATTAAATGATAGACAAAATTCTCTAAAGAGGTTCATATTTGCTGTATTATTAATGATATTTAAGAATAAATTCTGATCCTGAAGTTACATATATTTTACACATTTGATATAGGATGAACTACTCCATATATAATAAAAAATACGTTACATTGACTAGGGTAGTATTTCAAGCTCTTCTGTTTTAGGAAAAAAAACAAATTGTTCATAAATATTAAATTATTCTATAGTATAAACTCTTAATATTCAAATAAAAGTATAGTAGTTTTGCTGTTTCAATTTCTTGAATGTATATTCTGACACCAATAGCCTTTATTACAGTGTGGCTGTAGATGAACTGCAATTTAAAAATACAGAGTTGGGTTCGATATTTAGCGCTTGTTAATGACAGTCAATATCTTATATTACAAATACAATTTATACAAGCTGCTCTTCGAATTAAGTCTTTTCTATTTATTGCTGCACTGTTAGAAAGAAATAGAAATACTATGTTGGCATCTAATTACTGCAAACTCTCTATGAGTAGGAAATCCAAACAACATCCTCAAAGCTATTTTCTGGGACTTCAAGGCACCTGCTTTTCCTTCAGACACTGAAAACAGTAGTAGTTCTGTTTCTTGTCTCTGGATATCCTGCATTTCTTATCCTTCACACTTATCTTCCTTACTGTCCATTCTGCTTCATCTGAGCAGCCTTGAGAAGTTAAGATTGTGTTCACAGAATTAAACAGCTAAAGAGTGCAGTAGGCAGATAGTCATTTGAATTTCAGTTTAAAATAATGTACCTAACAAATCTTCTTCTTAAACTTAGATTTGTTATTTCTAAATAGTGTACTCCTTTACATAAGTATGTGTAACAAAAAATATCATGGATATTTCCACTGTAACTCTTCTTTGATTAATAATTAACTGTAATTATGTAACTGTGAAAACCTAATCTTGTATAGTTACTATACAGTTTAATGCTATAGATTTAATAATATTGATGTCTGTAGGGTTGGGGGTTGGATATTGAATATTCTGCATTTATTTAAAATATTAGTATATTTTTGCTTACATAAGAAACATTATTAGGACACTCTACGCTTAGTAACATTTTTTCCTCTGTCTAAGGTACTGGGTCCTTTAGATGAATTCTATGCCGAAGACTTTAATTTGTTGGAAAAAATAACATACAGTACCTCAGCGGAGAAGATTAAAGCCATCGTCAAAGAGATGGGAAACAGTAGTAAAAAGTAAAACTCTCTTGCATTTTGAGGCTTTATGATATACTGCCTTGTTTATTGCCTGTAACTAATAATCATTTTGCATGGGAAAGATAAACAGATTCAAATATGTAGTCATAATACTCTTCATACTATATACTCATATATATACGCTCTACATGCACTTAGTGAAAGTGTTTGTTGTTTGTGTGCTATGTATTTGCTATCCTCTTACTTAGCATCTGAGTGCTTCTGTGTAGACACATTTAACTGTCTCTCATTTCCTTTTTAGCATTTCCCTGGCAGACTTAGTATACTTACCTGCTCAAACACTTGCCCTATTTTCTAGAAGAAATGGCACATCTGCTAAATTTTGTATCATCACCTTTATCCTTGCCTAATTACGCCATTTAGCATAGTTTTCCACTACATATATGAACTGTATATGTTGGTTTTCAACTGCATGTGCCATTTACCCCGCTGCCAACAGCCTCTTTGGTACCGTGTTGTTACAGCACAGAGCAGGAAAAAAAGGCACCACCCTGTGTTTCTCGAGACATGCACCCTGTTATCGTTGGTCACATGTGTGGCGAGGGTGAGGCATAAGAGATCACTGGTTATCCAAAGAATCACATCCTCTCCAACTTGCCTCATAACATGTGTGCAGCTCTGCTAAATTACTCCAAATACTCCATCTTCTTCCACTGTACTTACAACCAAAGGACAAGTACAGCTAACTAAATTTCTACTAGCTTTTGCTTACTGAAGAGTAATTATAAAGAACAATAACAAGTGTAATGAAATCCAGTGCATCTTAAAACCACAGTAATATCTGAGTATTGATATTTGAAGTAAGAATGTTCATTGCCTTTGGGGAAAAAAGAAAAGGATCCTGTAGAGGCATGGACAGATGCGCTGCTCTGACACCCTGCTAGACAACGTTCACACATCTGTTAATTAAAGAAGCATAAAGATGAGTTTTAGCCAGCTTTTAATCTAAGGATCCAGTTGGTGTACAGAGAGAGCAAAATTATGTTATTTTTACAATATCTATTAACTTTCTGTGGCTGAGAATCATTTCTGTTATCTGGAAGGACTGGCACAACTGAGAGAATAACTACCAGAAAAAAAAATCAGGAAGAGGTAGAACTATCAAGGAGATAAGTAGTGAGAGGCAAAACATGTTTAATCAAATATTAAGACTTAGTGACACTGAAACAGAACTACTGAAGTTTCTAAGGAATTTCTAGCAAGAAATACAAAAAAAAAGATAAAGGATGTGGCCAAGTGAACTTGGAACTTTGTTCGTTTATATCTGTTCCTAGATATTGTCAGAGAGGAAAAAAAATGGAAAAAAAAAAAAGTAATAGAGCTATAAATATCAGCAAATCGTACCATGCAAACTGTGAGGCTGAATGGTAATTGAGCTAATTCTGCATTGCTTAATTTTAAGAAGCATACAGTTTACAAGCTCTAAGGCAGTAGTGGTTCTTGGGTGTTGTCATGCTAAAGGTTTTACTCAAACTACAAATCTCGAGGTGATAATCTTTTTAAAGAGTTCAGGATGTGGGCTTTAAAATACCCCTTATATAAACAGACTTACTTTAAAATGTGAATGTTTTACTCCTTTTCTAATGAAAAACAAATTATTTGTGCCTTATTTAATATAGTGGCAGTGATTTGATTATGAAAATAGATGCCCTACTGTCGTCTTCACCTAAAACAGAGGTGAGACAAGCTGCTGAATTACTCAAAGAACAGCACAGGTAAGTTCTGTCTGCCATGATAATGCACTTATAGTACTTTCATATTAAAAGTAGAATGTACTGATTACCACATAAGGTCTTCAAAAACTTCAGTAAGCATTTTAGTTTTAAAAGAAGTTGGTTGTATGGTTATATGAACAACCTGTTCATCTGCTCTAGTGTAATGCATCTTCACCTCTCACTTAATAAATTAATTAGTAATGCCTAATGATCTTCCAGCCTTATCCTTAACTGAAAGAAGAGTGATTACAATTGGTGTGAATAGAAGTGGTAGTCTGGCATTAGAAAACTTGGAGTCCATACATTTACTAAAATGTCAGAAGTAATTTCACAGATTAGAGCTAAAAGAAGCCTCCACTAATTTTCATCAAAGTGGAAAACTCTAGCACAGCTTTTTCTGTTTGTGTAACAGTTTGTGGTTGAGCACTCTCACTCTTGACCATAGCTCTTGTGCTCAGCTAGACCCTAAAATACGATTAGATTAAACCCTAAAATACAACTAGATTATATTCAAATGCAAACTGATGGGGCTCATTGGCACTTAATTCCTTAAGAAAAACTGAGCAGACTGTCTTCAGTTAACAGATTTACACTTGGCAAGCTCATATTAGTGTCCCTAGTGTATTTACTTGTATATTGGCTCCTTGTCTTTCTGATCCTAGATTTAGAAAATGAATATGCCATAAGCATTGTCCTTTGTTATCATTGTTAATGGATGAGACTTAAATTACCAAGATATGTCTTGGTGAATCCTGCCTTCTTTGTAATGGGATGCTAATGGTAGCTGGTTTTAATTTAAGTTTAGCTGGGACAAGCTTTCTGGAACAGACAGGTACATTTTTTAAAAGGACATATGATAGCGCAAGAAACATGATCAAAATAAATTTTTTTAATGCTATTTCCAAATCTCTACTTTTTTTTTTATTGGTAAAGCTGCTCTAGTGTGCTGTGCTGATGAGCTAGCCCTGGCTAATACTTGTTGAAAAGACAAGGAGTGAAATCAGTAGCCCGGTTTAAGTGGCTAATACCTTTTTTAAAGTTATCCTAATAACAGGGAGTACTATGCTACTACCACATTGAAGGGAGTTTGACTCACTAACAATACTCATATTTCTAGGTATATTTTTTGTCGAAAATTAATTCATATAGTCCATTTTACGTTTTTACAGCACATGATTTATTTATTTATTTAAGTAAGGTTTACTAACATTTATTTCCTGTAGATCCAGAGTACTTTAACTAGTCTCCTTGACTTAGTCTAATCAAGTTTATCATAATAAATTATTTTCTGAAATGCATAAAGCTAATCCATCCTTTCAAGTTTCATACTTCTCAGTTGCCATTTTTTCCCACTGTTATTTTAAAATTGTGTTACTGCCAGCACTTGTCAAATCTGATGATGCGAGGTATCGGTGGAGGAGACTTTAGACCAATGAAAAAAAGTTGTTTTTAAAATTTTGCAGTGTGTTTTCCTTTTATTTTATTGATTTTGTAATGGGGCATGTATTTCACGAATAGCCAGTATGGAACTATGTAGGTTAATGCTAAATTTTAATTGCTGTGCATGTTAGTTTTTCTAGTGATATCGTGGGGAGTAATAATGATTACTGCTTGAAATGAGGGAAACGGCTTCACAAACAGTAAAATCTAAAGTAGCTCCAATATTACAAATTTGTGCCTAAAAATATTTGTTATTTGCACTTATTCAGTTTAGAGTTTTCATGTCACTTACTTTCATTTTTTTTTATAACAGCGTAGTAAAAGTCGATCCCCAACAGAATGAATCATTCTATGATGTTATTGCTATTGTGGATCCATTGACAAGAGAAGCACAGAAGATGGCTCACATATTGATTGTAAGACGATGGTGATTTATTTTAATTTGCATATTTGTAGTTTAATTTTTACTACACTTTTTCTTATTTCCATGTACAGTGTAGTAAAGGAGTAAACAAAATTTAGATTTTTTTTATATATATATATTTGGTTATTTAAATTCCTATTAAAAAGTTGGAGATTATCTAATTCATCATCGTAAGTACATTATTTGCAATTAAAATTCAGATGCCCCATGAACCGATCATCTTGAAAGTGAGTACATAAATGCTCTTTATAGTCAATAGAAGGAAAGGAGGAGACTGTCTGCATAATATAGAGGGAAAGGACCTTCCATCTCAAAATCTTTAGAGGCATATGCTTCTTTCCATTAAACCAAATCACTTTAGTTTTCCAAGGTAGCTAAATGAGGTGGACTAAATCTGACCCGTAATATCATCATAAGAAGATTGAACTATAAACCTTTCAGCTCTTGGAAAGGTATTTCTCAGTTGATTAATGCTACCAAGTCTATCTAGAAGTCTTCCATTGTATGTAGCTATTGATCATCTAAAGAGAGACTGTCCTAAAAACATAGCTCCTAAAATGATTTTCTTTTTTCACTAGCTGCAGAGTATCACTCTACCTCAGGTTCCTTTATAGTTTCCCATAAAAATGTAAATTTTTTCTTCTCTTTATGGTCCGTTACAATTCTGAAGCCTGTAACTTGATTTTTGCTGCATCCTGTTTTATCTTTTTCTCTGCAGTAATTATGAAAGTTTCATAAATTTTTACATTGCTTTTTCCCCTTCCGTTATCATACCTTTTGCCTTTTGTGTTAAATGTTGAGGCATCCAGTCACTCTTCATAGAATCATAGAATTACCGAATGGTTTGGGTTGGAAGGGACCTCAAAGATCATCTAGTTCCAACCCCTCTGCCATGGGTAAGGACACCTTCCACTACACCAGGTTGCTCAAAGCCTCATCCAGCCTGGCCTTGAACATTTCCAAGGATGGGGCATCCTCAGCTTCTCTGGGCATCCTGTTCCAGTGCTTCACCACCCTCAGAGGGAAGAATTTCTTCCATCTAATCCAAATCTGCCCTCTTCCACTTTAAAGCCATTGCCCCTTGTCCTGTCACCCTGTCACTACACACCCTTATAAAAAGTCCCTCTCCAGCTTTGGAAGGCTGCTAAAAGGTCTCCCCAGAGCCTTCTCTTCTCCAGACTGAACAATTCCAGCTCTCTCAGCCTGTCTTCAGAGGAGAGGTACTCCAGCCCTCACATCATCTTTGTGGCCCTTCTCTAGGCCCACTGTAACAGGTCCGTGTCCTTAAGTTGAGGACCCCGGAGCTGAACGCAGTACTGCAGGTGGCGTCTCACGAGAGCAGAGCAGAGGTGCAGAATCATCTCCCTCGACCTGCTGGCCATGCTTCTTTGGATGCAGCCAGGATACGGTTGGCTTTCTGGGCTGCAAGCACATGTTGCCGACTAATGTTGAGCTTCTCATCAGCCAGCACCCTGAAGTCCTTTTCCTCAGGGCTGCTCTCAATCCATTTTCCACCCAGCCTGTACTTGTGCTTGGGATTGCCCCAACCCATGTGCAGGACCTTGCACTCTTCATACGTAATAGTGAAGCAAAGTAAAACATTTAAAACTTTTGTGAAAATTCTGTTATTTCAAGACTCTGAAGTACTAGCTTTTCTCTAGAACCAGATCTTTCATTTCACCATTTCGTTTCGGAATTGACTGGAAACTATCTCCATTCAGCTAGAAGTTCATATTATGGTAAGTTGCCTCAAGGACCTTGTAGCTTAGATCAGAAGCCTCCCTTCCTCCTAGTGCAACAGGCTCCTTTCTGAACAATATCTTCTCTAATGCATGCCTAGGTGAATGACTACTATGGTGTACCAAGCTGTTCAGCCATCGCAGATCCTACTTGATTCATAGGAGCTATGGTCTTATTCAGGAAGCCAACCCTTGGGAGAGAATAGTGAAATGCTGTTGAAACTAAATAAATCACAAATATTTTAATGTAGATGGAACTTACTTTCAATTTTTTAATCTTTCTTTAAATGAAAAATAAAGTAGCTTGAGAATTAAAAATTATATATATATATATATATAGTTATCTCGAAACCCACCTACTCCTGGTGTAGAGACAGAACATGTATACATGTACAGCGAGCCCCAAACACAAAGTTCCTAAATGGATGCCTTTCTGATTGTCTTGCTACATATAGGTGACTTAAATACTTTAAGTATTGGGATATATTTATACTTAGAGGATATTTTTTTGATAACATAACTGGATAAGTACCCAGTTTATTGGAATAGTAGCTATTCATGGTGCAAAATTTGTGTAGTAACTACCACAGCAAAGCGCTTGAGTCTTGCCTCAGTCTGTGTTGAAAATGTCCAAGTTATGATTTTTTTTTTTTGGCCCTGGTGAAAGCATGTTATTATTTGTTTAAAATATACTAGATTTTGTCATAAGAACTGGTCTATGTCCTCTCCAGAGAGAGGCAGACAGAACTTTCCATATAATATGTGTTTAACCTTTTTCAAAAGGTTTTGGCGTAGACTTTAGCGTTGAGTATTTCCAGACAAGGCAACAGTCACTGCCTGCAGTGGATCTTTAAATGCTGACCTGACCCTGGCTTGACAGGGGTTGGAATGTATCCATCCTCAGCAGAATACATGGAACAGCTAACTGGTCCTAAAGTTATGAAGGTGGTCGCTACGGTGATATAAAAAAAAAAAGTAGAAGTTCTTCTAAAAATGAGGACAAAATGGAAGAGTTGTTGTGGGGTTTTTTCTTCATGGTTCACCAAAACCAGATGAAAAAATATTATACATGGTACCACTGAACACACTACATGTCCCCTAGCCTAACTGCTTTATTGCAGCAGTATGTAACTCCTAGGATCATCTACTGTTTTTTCTCTTGTTCCAGTAACTGTCTGAACTGTCCTTCCAGTAACTGAAGAACTTTAAAATGTGGAGAGAAAAATCAAACCTTTTTTTTTTTTGTCAATTATCGTTTGCTTTTTTTGCATTTGTTCATTCTGTCTTCAGGGAGAAACTCTTATTCCATCCCCAAAGTGAGAAGAGATCTCTGAAGGAACTCCTTTTGATAATCTAATCTGATTTCCTATATAACACAGGTCATAGGACTTCTTTGTAAATTAGCATTTGAAGTAGAAATCGTTTTTTTAATCTGATCCTAATTTAAGTATTATCAAGCAGTTGAGTACAGATCATAATTCCTACTGAGCTTTTCCAGTGGCTAATTAACCTGAGTGTTAAACTCAGACTTGGAATTGCAGAATTCTATTTAGCTCCATGCTGTAAGCATTCATATTCCCATCATTTTGCCAGTTCTGTTGAAGAGTCTATTATAATTGTTTTCAGTGCAGATGCTTTGTATTGTGGTGATGTTCACACACAATTCCAAGTGATTGTTGAATAATCGTGGTTTAGTGAGTCAATGCTTTTCAGATGAGTTGTGGTAATTTACAGTGTTTTGCAAAGTGACTGGACATGTAAAATAAAACTTGCTCTTAAATAATTTAAGCCTAGTAAACTGAGATAATTCAGTGATCTTTTACAGTACGAAATAATCCCTGAATTAAATTTTCATGCTCTTTGGATTTTCTTAATTAAACAGACTGAACTCTACGAATACTCTGCTATTAAAGAGGCTTTCTGATCTTGTAACCATTTTCTTGTGTTAACTTGAATGCCCTGGCTTTTGGGGTCCTCATAAGGCCTAAATAAAGGAACCGGAATCAGTATCCAGAAATTGTGTTGTGTCTCTGTGTTCCCAGAGTGAGAACCTGAGATTTTTGGGGTGAGATTTTTGTCTCGTTTGAAGAGAAAGTCTAATACAAGTTTACACTATTTTGGATGTAGCACCTGTATTTGAGAAATTGTTTTCTTTAATGTTGAAAATTCTGGGTATGTTTTAGTAAATGAGACCAACTAGCACTAGTTACAAATGCTTTTTATTCTTGTCTTTTTATCTTGGCCAATCTATTATAGAGAGATACTTGAGTCACTTTGACCTCTGTTTTGATTTTGGTAGTCTTTAGTCCATGTCGTGTAATACTTCTTATACTTCAGTGCTACTTAGGTTCCTGTTTCTTGATTCTTCACTTGTTCTCACCCTTATGCCATTCCTTAGTCTTTATTTTTGCTCAGTAGTTTTTTCAGTGATGATATTCAGTGATACAGAGGATGAGAATGAGAAACTAGGAGCAGAACAATTCCCTAGGACTATATAAAGTTGTAGCACTATAGTAAAGAATATGTGTAGCCATGAGTTGAACTAAGGAAAGAAAAATACTGGTTATAATAAAAGAGAGATTTAAGGGTAACCATTGCCTTGCTTTGTTCCCAATTTACTTACCATTATAGTAATTTTAGATTTTAGCCTTAGTGGTATAAGTATTTTAACTTAGCTTTAATATCTTATTTGCTTTTCTAATAATATCCATAAAGGTAAACACAGCTGCTTTATGCTTTCAAATAAGCACTTTGGATCAGAAACCACAGAGGTGAAGATAACCTGGTAAAGGTTTTTAAGAGTCCTTTAAAGAAATTAATAACTTCAGCTTTAAACAAAATAGCTTGCTTACAAAAATAAGAAAAAAATACTATCCTAATATTATGGTTCTTATATAACAGCATCCCGAAAATTAGTGGTTTAGGAATGAACAGTTGAAGAAACTGAGAAAGTTTAAAATGAGAAATATTTTAACTCACTGTAATGTTGTGAAGTTGACTGAATAGTTTAACACATCATTAATCTATTGCTGACATTTAAAATCATTAAGTAATTAAATATTAAAATAATTATCTGAGCTTTACGATATTCAACAATTTACTGCATAGAATTTTAATGAGTGAAATTTATTGTTTTAAGAATGCTTATTGAATAAAAGGCAGATATTGTACTTTAAAACTTTAAAGTGTTTTAAAATCTTCTAGAAAACACAATGTGAGAAAGGTGATAATATCAAGCATTAGAAAATGGAGATAGCCACTCTTTAAAAAACTGCACCACTACGGAAAAACATTAACATTTTGAATATCAAGAATATTGTGTGCTAAATCATGCAGTTTTAGAAAAGGTCAGATCTTTTTTTGAATGCCTGACAATACCCCTTAGTATACAAATATATTTAGAACTTTAAAATGTTTGAGATTTCTGCTGAAGCTCGAGAAATGACAGGATGCTGCAAGGACAACTTCAGCTTATTTTCAAAGTTCAACAATTGCCAAGAACCATTTTTTTACAAAGAATTTTTTTTCTGTAGGTACTCAAAGATATTATTAATGTGAAACTCAGGCTGTTTTTGAACTGCAGATCTAAGCTGTCAGAAGTGCCACTGAAGAGGTAAGTAGTTTATAGCTTTTCTTACAAGTATATGATCTCACTTGGTTTGGAAAAGACAACTTTAGCAGTGTGTATTCCCTTAAAAGATCAACAGTGGTTTGTATTTCTGGATCCTTTTGTTGCGTTAGTTACTTTCTTTGAATGTAAGTTGAATTTTATCAATGCAGTTAGAGTGTCTCTAACTTGTCTAGAGAAAAGTTATAATGCTCAGGTGTCGAGCATGGGATCACAGGGAACTGATCTAGTCCATCAAACACACCTCTCATAAACGATCCTTAGAGAAATCAATGGAGAGTCCATCACACCTGTGAGAACTTGCAGAGGGAGATTGTCTCCCTGACTTTGTCGCTTCTTACAGTCCGCTTAATGTGTAATGAATTTTACAGATTCAGTACGTTTAACTTAAAGATTAAATTCATCTCAGTAAATGTACAGTCTGCATTTGAGATCTCGTATCATTTAAGAATATCATAGCCTGAAAATACCTGCCTTAAACTGAAGTTTCTTTTAATGGGCTGTGAAGACCAGGGCTCACTAATTCAGTTTACACCGAAATGAACTCCCCAGAGGGGATTCCTTTCCCTCTAAGAGAAATGGTTAAGCACTGCCATCCCTTTGGCAGATATTTTACCTGTAATCTTACGAGAGAGGCTGGTGGTAGTGCCTGCCCTTTGCCTAGTAGACTAGAGAATTAACCACTTGCCCACAAAACAGAAGTCATTAGTTTCTATTTGGTTTGAGGGGAATTGAACCCTCTTACAGTGCAAGAGATTGTCTTAATCTTCAGTCTTCTGAGTGTTTTGTGTGAACATTGCCATGATTGCTTTCAAAGCTAGGCACTTTGCAGGTGTTAGTGCCTGGTTCTTTCCTTGTGCTTGGGAGAGGTGAGAGGAAGAGATATTCTGGCATCTGCCCTGCAGATAGCCTGTATTTTTCTTGCAGCAATGGTTCCATATGAAATGCATCCATATACTAGCCCAAATACTTTGTGGGAAAATTGTATTCCTCCTTATGGGTATAGACTTTCTTACCTTTTTATTTTTCATAGTAATTTTTTTTCTCTTTTTCCCCTCATGTGAGGCACTCATTGCATTCACTTTCTATCTTCAGTGCTCTTCGTTCTCTGTTCTGATTCTCCTTGTTTTCTTGAATATCAGTAGAGGAGGGAAGAAAATTGTCACTATTTTGTTGTTGCAAGGAACTTTTATCTCTGGAATAAATGGGGTAAGAGTTGGAGAGGAATAGAAGGACTTCTCCTTCCCTCTGCTCTCTGTCTTTGCTTCTGCTAGTGTCAGGAGCTCTTCCAAAGACTCTTTTCTTCCAGCAGAGATTAGTCCTTCTGCTTAGTTTAGTGATACAGATTCTGAGAATTTAAGGCAGTTCATAGTCAAGATGTTTAGGTCTGTCTCTCAGATATTCACCTTCCCAACCATTAAGAATGTTAATGGGAACTGTGCATTTTCACAGCAAAAAATTATCAAAAGCGAGTAGATCTGTGTTAATCTACCTCCAACCATTAAGAATGTTAATGGGAACTGTGCGTTTTCACAGAAAAAAAATTATCAAAAGTGAGTAGATCTGTGTTAATCTACCAGCCCATTTGAGATGCTGTAGGTATTGTCTAACACTATTCCAAAGGAAGGGAGCTCCCATGTCTTGGTGATTTGGTAAACATTCACTAAATTTTAAAGTATTTTAGAAGAACTTCATGTTTGGAACTATATGCTTCAGTAAATGTATTTTTGAACGCTTCTTTTTCAACAGCTTCTATCGTTTTGTTCTGGAACCAGAAATAACTTATGGAATCAACAAGCACCTTCCATCTGAACCTGTGGCAAAATTCCTAGAATTGCCAGAATCACCCCTTTTGACTCTAAACATGATCACTCCTGAAAGCTGGTTGGTTGAAGCAGTAAACAGTTCCTGTGATCTTGATAATATTCATTTACAGGATGTAAGTAATAGTTTGTTAACATTATAAAACTTGTGTTGGACTGTCTACCTCAAGAGGAAAATGGAAGTTTTGTGGGATTTTTGTCTCTTATTTTCCAGAAATGCTTTCTGTGGTAATTGATTATTTGGACAGTATTTTACCGTTTTTATTTTCGTCTTTTTTTCACATTCTCTCTTACTTTAAAAAAACCCATGTCTTAAAAGAAAACAACGAAACAAAAAAATCAGAATGCAGAATACAAGTAAAAGCAATTTTTCTGCTGCATTTAGATAAAAATAAAGCAATTAAGCTAGCCGTGTGCAATCTTTCTATTTATCTTTTTTTATTTTAGTAATTTATTTCTTTATTTTAGTAATAATGAGTTTAATCTAGGAAAATCTTCAAATAAACCTGAATATATTGCTGTTTATTAATATAGATTAAAACATATTTGACTCTTTTTTAATTCACAAATTTTTTAATTCCTCAGCTCCAAAATTACTACATTTGTCTCAATCAGTAAACTGATGCAAAATATTGAGGGCATTTGATCCACCAAAACGGTGTATTTGGAAGGTGTATTGTGAAAATAAAGGTTGGGATTTACCTTACCAAACTTGAGATGTCTCAGCTTCCTCAACAGTCAATGGAGAGAAGATCTCTCCAGACAGGGGGACTAAGGCCTTACCTCAGATATCTATATTAAAATTGAGTGAAATTCCTTCTGGAAGGGACTTTCTTTTTTTTTTTTTTTTTTTTTTTGGCAGTTGAATTTAGGTGAGGTAAATCGCACATGTTTGTCATTGTAGTATGTTGCTTTTCCCATATAGTTAAATGACATAATTTTTGATGAAATGGTCCTTCCACAGATAAAAGGGACAGTTACAGCAGAATATGAACTAGAATATATATTGCTTGAAGGACATTGCTTTGATGTGACAACTGGACAACCTCCTCGAGGGTTACAGTTCACTCTGGGCACAAAGAATAATCCTGTCATGGTTGATACTATTGTGATGGCCAACCTGGTAAGTGTTAAGTACAGAAATAGTCATTGCAATTGCAGACTCTTCATGAGAATTCTTTGAGTTTCTTGTTCTTTAAATACATTTTGATGTGTTGCAAGCTTAGTAACACTAAAAATAACAGGAGCATCCTGGAGTTGAGACCATCTAGAAAGATGTGCATCTCTAATTTGCTAGGCTTTCCCCCACTCCTTTTCTGATGCAATGTAGATTTGGATATAGCCTAATTTTAGACTCTAATCTGAAGTGCCTAAACTGGGAGCCTAATTGCTTTAAGTAGATGATAGGAGGTAATTATATTCAGATGGAGATTCCACTGTCAAATGTAAGGTATGAATCACATTCTGATTAAACTAACCATTATTGTTACATGATGATCCAGGGAAAAGAAGGCTTCTGTTTTAGATGCTTCAGTGTGTAAAGCCTCTGTGGGACAAATCCACACCTGAGAATTCCTCTGGTCATTCCAAGTAATTATTTTTCATTTTAGCAATCTATAAGGCAGAAGATCTTGTGATTTCTGTAGTGAAAGATTTATTTTCTATTGGCCAAGGTAATTTGATAGGGAAGGATTTTGACATATCTGCTATTCTCTGTTCTCTTTAAATACTGTATCACAAGGAATAGAATGCTTAATAAACTGTGAATCTTTGTTTTTTGCACAAGTACTGAATACAGTCTCAACAGTAGATGTTCAACACAGTGAAACTTTTAATGATTCTTCACATTCCAAAGCTTGTTTTGTCTGGCTTTCACATAGTGATAGCTGTATGCAGTGTTCCTAAACTGGGAAGGAGCTGTTGTGACTTGGAAAGTTGTTCCAGACAAAAATTTGAATTTTCAAACAGACTTTTCAGTTTAGGGTCAGTTTAATAATTCATTTCTTTACTGCTCACTTACTTGCTGTTTTAGGTGGAAACTTTTGTATAGAACTCAAATTCAGCTAGAAACACATGGAGCACTGAAAGGCGTTAATATGGGCATATGGAAAAAGTGATAGTTGGAGACCTTCTAGCAGCCCTCCAGTACCTAAAGGAGAACTGCAAGAAAGCTGGAGAGGGACTTTTGACAAGCACATATAGTGATAGGACAAGGGGTAATGGCTTTAAACTGAAAGAAGGTAGATTTCAATTAGATAGAAGGAAGAAATTCTTCACTCTGAGGGTGGTGAAGCACTGGAACAGGTTGCCCAGAGAAGCTGTGGATGCCCCATCCCTGGAGGTGTTCAAGGCCAGGTTGGGTGGGGCTTTGAGCAACCTGGTGTAGTGGAAGGTGTTCCTGCCCATGGCAGCGGGGTTGGAACTAGATGATCTTTGAGGTCCCTTCCAACCCAAACCGTTCTATAATTCTATTATGATCACTGCCATATTACTTTCAGGGCTAGTGTGAGAGTAGGTAAGGATTACTGACCTTGGCTGCAGTACCAAATATGGGATAATTGATTTTTGTATATGTACATGGTTGATTCTGAAATGCTGACAGAACAAGTGCCTGTCTTTCTTTTTTCTCATAGGGATATTTTCAGCTGAAAGCAAATCCAGGTGCTTGGACGTTGAGATTGCGTAAAGGAAGATCCGAAGAGATTTATCAGATTTTTTCGTACGTATTGATCCATCTTCTGAAAACGTACTTTTAAATGAATATAAAAGGGCAACATATTTGGAAAAGGTCTGACAGTACTGAAGGAAATAAGCAAAAATAACATTAAAAAAGCAGAACAAGAAGCAAATTATGATTTACAGTTTCTAAGAGATACCTTTTTTCCTGATAGCATAAGTTGTTGTTTGGTTGTTTTGTGTGTTCTTGAAGTCATTTGGATATGTTAATGCATAATAAGCCTAAGCTGCTTAGCTAGACTTGATGCTAGCAAAGTCTCGTACTATACAGTGTCTACCAGACACTTGCCCTGTCAGTTCCACACATGGTTAGCATTGTCATGCAACTGCTCACACCAAATTCAGTAGAAACTCATGGTTTTGATGATTAATATTTTGGCATTCCCAACATACTTAACATGTAATTCCAAGAATATGTCTGCTGGAGCATTCCTAGTCCTCCAGCAGCGTCTTGATCAGCTGGAGAAAGTGCCATGAATTTCCCTTTCATAATTTTTTTTCAGCCCTGAGAGTGCCTCTGAATGCAGTGTTACTGATAGGTGACATCTTTTTTTAACAGGAGCATTATATTCATTTCAGCTCTAGGCTTTTTTCTTCAGTTAATTCTGAGTGTTTCTTAGTCATCTAAGTCATCTAAGAATCACTGTGGTTACACTAGGCTTTTTTCTTCAGTTAATTCTGAGTGTATCTAAGTCATCTAAGAATCACTGTGGTTACGTCTTCACCTTAGGATATAGAAGCACCTTTCAGTTCTGCACGCTGGCTGCATATTGACTGCACCACATTTCCCTCTCTTGGGAGAAATCCCTGTGCATGGAAAGAAGTCACATTGTACTCCAGTGACTGGCATTTAGTTGCCACCTATGTGGCTTATAGATCTGTAATTTCCATGGTCAATTTTCGTATAAGGAACATATGCTAGCCATCGTTCCAACTATTCCTTGGAAGAATCATCTTTTTCTCATGTTTTATGTAACAGCATAGATCTGAGGGCGTGATCATATGAGGGCTTCCTCTTGAAGCTTTGGATCCGATCCCTTCTAGAGGAACACTATTGTTTTATTGTATTTCAACTTCAGTTCTTCCTTCTCACCCACCCCCCCATAATTCTGTGGGCTGAAACAGGTCTATTTCTTATAAAATATTTATTATTACTTGGAGTTCAGGAACACATATGTCCATATGATGTTTAGTCATCAGCTACTAATAAAAAATGACAAAAAATGGGAAAACATCTTTGCTGTTTTGAATATTTAGCTGGTGCATCACTTTCAGTGTTACAGGAAGAAATGATGTTAACGGGATATTAGGTTCATTCTATTTGTTTGCAATTTTCAATTTATTTTTTTACCAGAAACCACTCACAATCTGTTGAAAAAGAGAAAAACATAGTCATTATTCTAAGAAGTTCACTTGATCTCCGCCAACTGTCGCTATGTCATTTGCCTAATGTAACATTCAATACTTAAGATATAGTAAATGATTTATGAAATACATGGTTAAAAAAAAAACTAATGAGCTCTAGTTGAATTAAAAAGTGAAACAAAATTAAACAAAACCACTCTATGTTCTAGGCTGGATCAAAGGAAACTTAAATAATCTGCCATTTTTCAAGATTACTGATTTTTCCCTAAGAATTAATACAAATGAGCTTAATTGACCTCAGCTAAGTTACGTAAAATTAACACTTGGTGAGGAATCTAAACAATAACGTTTATTTCATTTAATTACTAAATGCCATAGGCTTAGAGTACAACAGCTAAAGTATGTTTGGGAGGTTATACCAGGATCTTTGACATTACTTATACTGATATCAGTATTAATTGTGTGAAATTGCTATCAGAACTCACGCAACTATTTGGTAGAATGTAATTTTGCCAAAAGGCATTGCAGGATATTCTCCATCCGTATGTATTAGTCATATCCACTCCTGTTGAACTGTAAGATGACTTGTTTCCTTTAAGGCACAGTACATTATAATACGAGTTTTAGAAGAAATATAGGATTTTGAATTTACAGCATGTTTTACACCTCAGAGCGTATTTGCTTCTCTCATAGTGGCATCTAATGCACATGCAGGTAATTTATTTCTACTCTATATAAGTATATAGCTTTTGAAAATAAGCTTCTTTTTTTTTCCCCAAAAACTGCTTCTAGCAAGGACCATTATTTTAAAGCAGTCACACTTGTAAATCAATTTGTTAATAAATTACTATGAATATTTGGGAGATTAAAATTGGTTTAGTCAGTAACAGCACTGATTATCATTGAAACTTTGATTCTATGATGGTAGAAAAACAGGTAGGCATTGCAAGATAAGACTCTGCAGAAAATAGTTTATATCTAAAGAGCTATATATAAGCTCCTGCT